TGAAGCTGATCCACTGACAGATACATTGATACATTATTCCATGCTTTCTGATGATCAGTATCTGTTTTGTCGGTGACTACTAAAATAGTCAATGTTCAGGACTTAGGAAAAGAACTCAAATTTTTGGAGGGTTTGTCCTAGAATGATGTAATTTTTCAAACGGTAGGCTAGAGGACTCGAAAGAACTGAACTTCTGATACAATGAGTTTGTTCTTAAGGGGATCTGGATATTTTTGACGTCAGAACAGCAGGATTAGTTCCCTGGCAAAACGGTCTTTCAGTCGGAAGAATCACTGCACACGAAAATCCAGAAGCTTTTAACAAGCTGATTTATCCAGACCACAGTACGAAATTCCCAGAGTTCACTGCTTTTTAGGGAACACACCCAATCGTTTTGGTCATGCAAAACATATAGTCTAGTGTGTCATCCTCAGATGAGAGACGAGCACTGGGCCACTTCAGCTGGAGGGACTGGAAAAATTTCTTTTATTGCCCTGATTGACACGCAGATTTTGCTACCGTAATTGGTTCTGATCTTATACATGCTTCTAACATATTCCTCAACATAATCCTCAATGTAGTCCTCAATTCTGCGCTGTTACCGACACACCGATCACATAGTTTGAAAATCAGTGGTTAAGCAATAATTTCGCTCTGAAGCTTTTTCTTCATGAGTGAATTGAATTCTCAGTGCTCCGAATCGACTCTCTCTAAGTTCTATCCATGTACTGCGGTACCTTATATAGTCTTGATCTTCATCCAGCTTTGGTTTCAAAGCGTTTTTTTCTCAGGGTTTTTTCTCCTAAGCTATTTTCTGTTTATCAAGAAAGCGTAACACGAAAAGCTTATGCAAGGTGACGATTGGCCAGCAAGTAACAATTATAGGTCCCCCTAAAAGTTGTTGCCTTTGATTAGTTGACCACGGTTACATCATTTACGAGGGTTTTCATTGGTACAATTTTTCCAATATCCAGTTTTGTTGTGCAATTTCCCGTAGCTCCATCACCACTGTCACAACTCCGGCAAGATGCAGATTTCTATCGTAATCAAGTCGAGATGTTGAAGGAAGAGGCTGACGAACAGCAACATCGTTCATCCGAACATTTCCGAGGACAAGTGAGTTCAATTGGAACGTTAAGTTTTTACTGATATGGTGATAAATTGAGAACAGCCATCGTGCTGTTCAGAAACTTTTTCTACCTTGCGTTGTTAAAGCATGAAAATATCGACCCTCTGTGAATTTACAAAAAATGTACTGACTCAGAAGTGCCAACACCTAGGTTTGCCGTCTCCAAATGAAATAGTTTACCAGAAAACGCCCACAGCCTGTCAGAGGTGACGTGTATCACATGCTCGTTCAAAGCCTTCATGTTTGGCATGTACACACACTCAGTACATTTCTATGCCTGGTATATTATCCACTTCAACTGAACTGAAGCATTCAAGCCAAGAAACATTTTCTAATGCAAGTTGCAGGAAATACGTGAAAATTCCACTCGCTCGGTTGTGTTCATGCGCTTGTGTTAGGTGTTGTGTGCTTGTTTAGGCCTTACAGTTTAGACAACGGAACAACTAACTCAACGTGGGATCACATCACTGGTGCTCGGATCAATTCGGCCTATTCGAACATCGAGAAACCACAAGTGGCATACTTAACACGCACGCGCACTGATGTGTATGGGTGTGCTTAAGGTCAACTGTGTCAACTTGCGTAGAATCGATTGTCCTAGTAGAAAATGGAGACAGAAATGATCGATACGAACTGTCCTCCAGGCTATCTTACGTCTGTACCACATTCGCACAGTTGATTAGACCTGAACACAAAATCACACACGATTCCAATGATACCGTGGCTCTGGGAAACGATCTGAGCTTGAAAAAGGCCTCGGAGAAAGTATAGAAATATAGCATATGGTATACTTATCAGAATAAGCGAAGGTAAACTGGTTTATAGACATGTAGATAACTCAGGTGAAGGTACTTTGATCTTACATATGCCTGGTATAGGTCAACTACCATAAACTCATTCTGAATGACAAGAATTAGTGCACCGAAAAGCAAGCGGGAAACTTTTCAGGGAGAAAATGGGTCTATGAAACGACAAAATCAAGGGAGAGAACAATTTCATTGCATCGTAGTTATAGGTATTACTGCAATTACTAGAACTTCAACTGTTCAGGGCTACCTTATGGCAATAAAATCTCTGTCTAGCATGACTGGTATTTCGAAGCACGGTGAATATATGAAAGGATGGGGTGTATGAAATTGTGGACTTGTTCGGTTGTAATCAATCTTCACAAGGAATGTCGGTCTAGACGATCATAGGTTAACTGCACTACACCCAAACTATGTAGAACATTCTCATAGATTTGTTATGTTATCTAATCTTGCACTTAAAATATTTGAAACATGTCATACAACAATGAAATGACCGATTGCGACATACAGAAACAAGCTAATCGTACATCCTAAATTCTTTCGAAGAGGTTGCAAGCCTGCAGAGTTGGAAGAACACTGCTCCCCACCGCCATGCTATTTAGAAGCACGCTTATCTGAATAGGCCCTGAGGAAAAACATACAGCTACCAAGTCCCAATGACAAGGCGAATTTGTTTTTCAGTAAGACGGGTTTATGGATGCAAATATTGAGAAAATGTTTTTTGTGTGTTGTGTTGCTTCGGACCGAAGCATCTCATTCAAGGAAATTCGAATTAACATTGGGATTAGACTAGTTGCTAATAGGATAGCGGTACCATCATCCCTTCACTTGAGGAATTCACATCGTCATTCACTTCCGCAATATTGTGATTTGATGTGAATTTTACGGGTTACCTCATATGAAACTTCTCGTATGAGCCATCTGTCACTAGTCGATGTGGTGGAAGCCGGCTGGAAGTTTTACTGATTTCCTGTAAGTTCTTTCTTGTTTCATGTGTTCACCGGAACAGTGTTTGAAAGATAACGATGGGTCACGTGATCTCACTTTCGTATTAAGAATGAGAAAAAAATAAATGGGTTCTCGTTTATCAGGTAGCATTTCTTGTATTTGCACTGATGTGCAAATGTTAGGACACGTACAAATCATGTTTAGAGAATCGTAGGTTGAAACGACTTGGTTTTACCCCATCCAGTGTTTCTTAGCCTTTCTGAAAGTTTCTGAGAACAAGTGAACACGAGCTATGCTCAGAATCGTTTTCGAAATGAGAAAAGTCANGTGACTGACACGCAGATTTTGCTACCGTAATTGGTTCTGATCTTATACATGCTTCTAACATATTCCTCAACATAATCCTCAATGTAGTCCTCAATTCTGCACTGTTACCGACACACCGATCACATAGTTTGAAAATCAGTGGTTAAGCAATAATTTCGCTCTGAAGCTTTTTCTTCATGAGTGAATTGAATTCTCAGTGCTCCGAATCGACTCTCTCTAAGTTCTATCCATGTACTGCGGTACCTTATATAGTCTTGATCTTCATCCAGCTTTGGTTTCAAAGCGTTTTTTTCTCAAGGTTTTTTCTCCTAAGCTATTTTCTGTTTATCAAGAAAGCGTAACACGAAAAGCTTATGAAAGTTGACGATAGCCCAGCAAGTAACAATGATAGGTCCCCCTACAATTTGTTGCCTTTGATTAGTTGACCACGGTTACATCATTTACGAGGGTTTTCATTGGTACAATTTTTCCAATATCCAGTTTTGTTGTGCAATTTCCCGTAGCTCCATCACCACTGTCACAACTCCGGCAAGATGCAGATTTCTATCGTAATCAAGTCGAGATGCTGAAGGAAGAGGCTGACGAACAGCAACATCGCTCATCCGAACATTTCCGAGGACAAGTGAGTTCAATTGGAACGTTAAGTTTTTACTGATATCGTGATAAACTGAGAACAGCCATCGTGCTATTCAGAAACTTTTTCTGCCTTGCGTTCTTAAAGCATGAAAATATCGACCCTCTGTGAATTTACAAAAAATGTACTGACTCAGAAGTGCCAACACCTAGGTTTGCCGTCTCCAAATGAAATAGTTTACCAGAAAACGCCCACAGCCTGTCAGAGGTGACGTGTATCACATGCTCGTTCAAAGCCTTCATGTTTGGCATGTACACACACTCAGTACATTTCTATGCCTGGTATATTATCCACTTCAACTGAACTGAAGCATTCAAGCCAAGAAACATTTTCTAATGCAAGTTGCAGGAAATACGTGAAAGTTCCACTCGCTCGGTTGTGTTCATGCGCTTGTGTTAGGTNGGAGGCTGCATTGTATAGGTTGTAGAGTGTGATTATGCTGTACTGAAATTACATCGTGAGGAGTTATGGTCATCGTGGATGTTGGTTTGCAACTCAAGAAGTTCGCACTGGTTTGTGGCCCATAAACTGCTATGTTTTCTGTACAAGTAGTGTCACACAAGGGGGCCGAAAAACAGGCAGATAATTCCGGAAGAGTAGTCATACGAATTGCATTATCTGCACGTCGCGGCTCAGTGACAGACGACGAGTCCCGATATTGGCAGCTCAGGCAACCGGGTCTGTAAACGCTTCAAGCACTAACCCTTGTTCGGCGTCACTAATTTCGTGGTAAAAAACTCGCAAGGTTTGAGCTCGACGACACTGACCAGATGTAAGACTGACTCGTCCTCGCACAGATATATTCGATTGCTCTGTATTGGAGTGGTTGTGGGTTTCTAATTATTCTGGCATTTATACTACATTCTCTGATATTTAATGCCTATTGCGTAGCTTTGAAAAGTCAGTACTGAAACCATGCCGCTGTTGATTCCGAGGCATCTGTGTCATTTTAAGCAGCAAACAAGGCATTCATGTAACGCTTACTCCTTTTCCATTATTCTGATCAACTTACCAAGGATGTTAAATTAGTATAAGGAGATGAAGGGCAGCTCGAACCATTGTTGGACCAGCATGTAGCCCAAAATTTTTTTTAACCTTATCTGGATGTCATCGGTTTGGTAAGTCTTGTGAGGTTTAATGGTTTGGAAAACTGAGGTTCTCCACTTGACCACAAATTTTAAAGTTCACCACCGCATTTCTGGCAGTAATCTATATTCAGTCGAGAGACCCAGCCACCCTTCGCCTAGCTGCTATTTTCTCCCCCCACCTCTGTCTTCAATACACAGATCACAGACATTTTGGCCAGAAATCAAGAATTTTGGCAACAAATGGCGGTAAACAATCAGGCATTACAGGCAGTGACTTTACAAAGACCTACACGCGTTACCGAGACAGATGGCTCACCGTTACTGGGTAAGGTTTGAACATTTCGGTTTAAATCATTTTGTCTGTTTCTTGCAGTCTTCTTATATTCTCCTCTTGGTAGTTTATTAAATGAGTCACACAGCAGCAGTTTATGAACGCCATATTTACGAGTCGTTGATGATATATGATCGTGGTCGTTGGCTCAGCTG